GCTCAGACTAGAATGCGAGCGGACACCTGGTCCGGGCCACCGGAGTCCGAGCGGCGGCGGCGCCGGGTAGGTATCTAGAGGGGCTGGTACGCCCTCTGCACGCAAAGGGCTGACATTTCATCTTTGTCGGTGAGCGCAAACTTTGGTCGCTTAGCGCTGAGGGTGAGTGAAGGTGGGACCTGGTGGTCTCTCTCTGGACCATTTAGAGGCCGCGACAGGGAAAGGAATCACGGGCTTGCGGGGAGACGTGGGGAACCGCCCGAGGGACGCGCTCAGGTGCAGAAGGCGGCAGAGCAAAGGCGAGTCCGGAGATGCTGCGTTGTGACCGCAGAGGTGACTGGGTGCTGTGTACATGTGAGCACAGGACACCTAAAATTTGGGAGAGCAGGATTGTATCTGTGTATCACCAATTAACCACTAAGCCTCATCCGTAAAATGGTAAGAAGGCATCTTTTTGCAGCATCAGTTTTCTTTGAAGGTTGACAGAAGAAACATAAAATGGGTTTTTAGGTTAAAATAGACATGTTTTTAGGGCGCCTGGGTGGCTCAGTTGGTTAAGCGACTGCCTTCAGCTAAGGTCATGATCCTGGACTAATCAGAATCGAGTCCCACATCTGGCTCCCTGCTCAGCAAGGAGTCTGCTTCTCCCTCTGACCTTCTCCCCTTTCATGCTCTCTCTCTTTCTCTCTCATTCTCTCCCATCTATAAATAAAATATTAAAAATAAAATAAAATGTTTAGTATGGATTAAAATAGTAATTTAACATGCTTTTAAAGCAAGAAAGAAGGTTGCAAAATAATTGTTAAGAGATGTTTGATTTTATCAGTTGAGATCCTCAAGTTTAGAAACACACTTTCTTATGTACATTTAATGAAACTGCTAAAAATATTTAGGTTTAAATCTACCACCTATTTGTTTTCTGTTTATTCCACATGTTGACAGTCTTAACCTTTTTAGAGTACAGGTTAGTTATTTTGTATAATGTTCTTCAATTTGGGTTTACCTGATGTTTTCTCATCATTTATATATTTTTTAAAAAGATTTATTTTTTGAGAGAGACAAAGAGCCTGCAAGTGTGTGGAGGGAAGGGCAGAGGGAGGGGGGGGGAGTTCAGAACTCCCCCCTGAGCACCACAGGTCTCAGTCTCAGGACCCATGACATCATGACCTGAACTGAAATCGAGTCCCCCACAAGCCAACTGAGCCACCCAGCTGCTCCTCATCATTTATACATTCTGGGAAATAACCCATACAAGTGATGCTATACTATTACCAGTTTATCCTATCCGGAGACACACAATGTGTTATTTTTTTAAAGATTTTATTTATTTATTTGACAGAGATCACAAGTAGGCAGAGAGGCAGGCAAGGAGAGTGAGAGGGAAGCAGGCTCCCCGCTGAGCAGAGAGCCCGAAGCGGGACTCGATCCCAGGACCCTGAGGTCATGGCCCGAGCCGAAGGGAGCGGCTTAACCCACTGAGCCACCCAGGCGCCCCCTGATGGTAGTTTTATTACTTAGTTTAAACATGACTTTCTCCACTGTAGAGTTAATGAATTTGTAGCATTTATCAGTGAATAAAAAAAAAAAAAAAAAAAAAAGGAAGGAAGCCAACTGGCAAAGGAGTTTGAGAAATGCGGTTTTCAGACTCCCAGTCCCAGCATTAGAGAAACCTATAAAAGGTTCAATGTGGAGCTGAAAAACAATAGGTTAATAACCAACACGTGGTCATCTTGCAAATTTCCTTCACCTCTTTTTATTTTTTTTTTTTCTTTCCCAGTAGTGCAGTCCCCCACTGGTTACCAAAACCAAGTGCTCCAGAGGTATGCCCTATGTGGGCTGCCTGTGCCCCTGGCAGCTGCCACCATGCTGGTGGACGGGGCTGGCCATCAGCTACCCTAAAACCTGGAGTGACTACTGTGGGTGCACTGGTGGGCAGAGCTTACCCTGGGGTTGTCAACTGAGAGGCCCACCTGTAGTTGGCAGACCTTTACCTCTTTTTTATGTTGGATTACTGGTTTCTGGAGCAGTGTCTTCTTTTATTCTTGGTTTAATCTTTCCCTTACCACCTTGAAAAAGGTTAATATAGAGTAAAAATTTGGGGTCCTTATAAGTCTAAAAGGTCTTTATTCTACCACTTTTGGATGATAGCCCAAATAGACTTGACATTTTAGATTAGGCATTGTTTGCCCTTAGAATTCTGAGAGAATTACACAAAGTTTATGGTTTTTTATCTTAAAGTATGATGACAGTTTGTGTTCTGTTTTTCTTTCTCTTTGGAAGCACTTAAGATCTCTACGTACCTAGTTTTCTGAAATTTCACAAAGGCATGCTTTGGCATGGGTCTTTTTGTCAATTGTACAGGGGCCTCTTTATTTTGAAGAATCATGACCTATATTTCTAGAAAGTTTATATTCTCTGAAAGTTTCCTCCATTCAGTTTGCTCCTCTCTCTCTTTAACTCCTTTTATCTGGATATTGAAATCCCTAATTTTATCTGTTATCTTTTTCATCATTTATTACCTTTTTAAAATTTCTTTTTCCTACAACTGAGTGATTTCCACAACACTATTTCCCATATCTGCTATTAAAATTTTAATAATAGGGGCGCCTGGGTGGCTCAGTGGGTTAAAGCCTCAGCTCAGATCATGATCCCAGAGTCCTGGGATCGAGCCCCACTTCGGGCTCTCTGCTCAGCGAGGAGCCTGCTTCCCCCTCTCTCTCTGCCTGCCTCTCTGCCTACTTGTGATCTCTGTCAAATGGATAAATAGAATCTTTAAAAAAAATTTTAATAATAGTTATCTTTTTATTTCAAGAGCAGTTTTTAGGGGCACCTTGGTGGCTTATTCAGTTAAGCATCTGCCATTAGCTCGTGTCATGCTTCCAGGGTCCTGGAATCAAGCCCTGCATCAGGCTCCTTACTCAGCAGAGAGCCTGCTTCTCCCTCTCCCTCTGCTGCTCCCCCTGCTTGTGCTCTCTCTGTCAAATAAGTAAAAAAAATTTTTTTTAAAGAATAGGGGTGGGGCGCCTGGGTGGCTCAGTGGGTTGGGGCCTCTGCCTTCCGCTCAGGTCATGACCCCGGGGTCCTGAGATAGAGCCTTACATCGGGCTCTCTGCTCAGCAGGGAGCCTGCTTCCCTTCCTCTCTCTCTGCCTGCTTCTCTGCCTACTTGTGATCTCTGTCAAATAAATAAATAAAATATTTTTAAAAAAAAAATAAAAAATAAAAATAAAAAAAGAATAAATTTTTTAAAAAAGAGCAGTTTTTATAGTACCCATTATTTGTTTCCCTAATATAATATCTTATCTCTCTTTGGTATTGGGGGTTTTGATGGGTTGTTTTTGTTTTTATGTCTTTTTTCTGTTCCTTACTGTATCCATTTCCTTGGAAATTCTTTTTTCCATTGCTTTCATTTGTCTTTCATATTACTAGGCTTACATTAACATATTAGATTTTCCCTTATTTACAGATTAATAGCTGTCCTTTCATCTTCATTATAGAACTATTGGTCAAGAATTCAGATATTTCTTTGTCAGTCTCAAAATGTTAGTATTACAGATTTTCTCCTGGGCTATTCCATTTCTCCAAAGAAGAGTCTTCTCATCTCTTGAATACCAGAATTTTAGAAGTCCAACAGTAATGAGGACCCACCATTTATTTAATCCCCCTGATTTGGGGTGCTTGGGTGGCTCAGTCAGTTAAGGGGCCAATTCTTGATTTTGGCTCAGGTCATGATCTCAGGGTCATGAGGTAGAGCTCCATAGTTGGCTCAGTGTGGAGCCTGCTTAAGATTCTCTCTCTTGGGCGCCTGGGTGGCTCAGTGGGTTGGGCCGCTGCCTTCGGCTCGGGTCGTGATCTCGGGGTCCTGGGATCGAGTCCCTCGTCGGGCTCTCTGCTCAGCGGGGAGCCTGCTTCCCTCTCTCTCTCTCTCTCTCTCTCTCTGCCTACCTCTCTATTTGTGATTTCTCTCTGTCAAATAAATAAACAAACTCTTAAAAAAAAAAAAAGATTCTCTCTCTTCCCAGCACCTGGATGGCTGAGGTCATGATCTCAGGGTTCTGGGATCGAGTTCTGCTTGGGCTTCCTGCTCAGTGGAGAGTCTACATCTTCCTCTCCCTCTATCCCGACCCCCTGCTTGTGTTCTCTCTCTCTACCTCTCTCTCAAATAAATAAAATCTTAAAAAAAAAAAAAAAGATTCTCTTCCTCTGCCTCTCTTCCTCTGCCTACCCCTCCCACCACTCACATGCGTTCTTTCTCAAAAAAAAAAAAAAAAAAAATTTAATCCCCCTGATTTCAGTTTGGTGCCTTTCCCTGCCATCTGCTTTTCTTTCTTTTTTTTTCTCTTAAAATTTTTTATCTATTTATTTTAGAGTTGAAAGCTTAATTTAGACTTAACATATTATAAAGGAATCCATGTAATAAAGAAATGATATGAATATTATAAGTGTATTATAACTCGTGTTATTTTGCAGTAACCCCTACTAATTGAAATCTGTATTAACAGGGATTCACAAATAAAGCTTATCAAATACTTGAGAATACACTGTGGAGAGAAACCCAATGAACTAACTTTCTCCATGTGAGGGGTTATATTCACACTCATCTTATTAGTCACTAAAGTAATAATGCAGCAAAGGAAACCTGTACATGTAAGGCTACTGGAAAACCTTTAGCCAGTTACTCCAACTGGAGGCATATGAGAAAATTCAAACAGTGGAGAAACTCAATGACAGTAACAAGTTCGGAGAACTGTTTTGCCAGAAGCACAACTCCATAGAACTTGAGAAAATTTAAACCTTTTTGCATTTTCCATTTAGATGTCAGACCTCATAAGTCACCAGCAAATTCCTATTGGAAAGAAATTTTATTCATGTAAGAAATGTGGGGAAGCCTTTAGCCACAAACCAAATATCATTGACCATGAGAAAATCCATATGGAAGAAAAACCCTTTGAATGTAATGAATGTGAAAAAGACCTCAGTCAGAAGGAATGCCTCACCAAGCATCACACTGCTCACTCTGGAGAGAAATCCTACAAATGTAATGAATGTGGAAAATCCTTCAATCAGAAAGAAAATCTCATTACCCATCAGAAAATTCATACTAGTGAGAAGCCATTTGGATGTAATTACTGTGAGAAAGCTTTTATTCAGAAGTCAAGCCTCATTAAACACCAGAAAATGCATACTGGAGAAAATCCTATACATGTAAAGAATGTGGGAAAACCTACAGCAGCAAATCAAATCTCACAAAGCATGAGAAAATTCATATTGGAGAAAAACCTTTTAAATGTAATGAATGTGGAACAGCCTTTAGCCAGAAGCAATATCTCATTAAATGTCACAACATTCATACAGGAGACAAACCCTTTGAGTGTAATAAATGTGGAAAATCCTTCTATCAAATTACATCACTTTTTGTACAAGTGAGAATTCACACAGATGATAAGCCTTATGAATGTGAGGTATGTGGGAAAGCCGTCTCACAAATTCCATCTCTTACTGCGCAAACGAGAAGTCATACAGGTGAGAAACCCTATGGATGTAATCAGTGTTGGAAAGCTTTCTCTCAATTCTCAACTCCTGCTTTACATGTGAGAACACATACAGGTGAGAAGCCTTATCAGTGCAGCAATTGTGGGAAAGCATTCAGCCAGAAGTCACACCACGTTAGGCATCAGAAAATTCATACTTATTAAAGACAGTACAAATGCCTTGATAACAAAGCCTTTCATAGGAGCTTACACCTTCTACATATCAGAGAATTCATCGTGGAGTAAAACATTATGAACGTAGGAAAGCCTTTAGCAGGAGCTCAAAATATAAGATCAGAACATTCTTTTTTTTTTTAAGATTTTTTATTTATTTTTTTGACAGAGAGAGATCACAAGTAGGCAGAGAGGCAGGCAGAGGGGGTTGGGGAGCTGAGCAGAGAGCCTGATGCGGGGCTCAATCCTAGGACCCTGAGATCATGACCTGAGCTGAGGGCAGAGGCTTAACCCACTGAGCCACCCAGGTGCCCCAAGATCAGAACATTCTTATGAAGAGAAACATTAATATGATGAAAAGCCTGAGGCCAACAAAATTTTCAGTAAACATCGTAATTAATGCAGAACTTTTGGAAACATTCCCATTCAAGTCAGAGACAAGACACGGATGCCTGATATCGCCACAAGTCAGTATAATCCTAGAGACCAGAGCCAATGCAATAAAGTGAAGAAGTATAAGGATTGAAAAGGAATACATATTTTCAGATGATACAATTTTTATATAGTTACGATTATTAAAACTTTGTGATATGCATTAACAGATAATAGATTAATAGAATGGAATATGAAGCCTACATAAGTTTAATTCTGTAAAGAAATTATGACCGGGGCGCCTGGGTGGCTCAGTGGGTTAAAGCCTCTGCTTTCAGCTCAGGTCATGATCCCAGGGTCCTGGGATCGAGCCCCGCATCGGGCTCTCTGCTCTGCAGGGAGCCTGCCTCCACCTCTCTCTCTGCCTGCCTCTCTGCCTACTTGTGATCTCTGTCTGTCAAATAAATAAATAAAATCTTTAAAAAAAAAAAAAAAAGAAAAGAAATTATGACCTAATTAAATAAAGTTTTGGGTGATTATTGCCTTTCTCTGTAGAAAAAGAGATTCCTACCTTATATCTTACACTGAAAAAAGAAAAATCCACTGTGAAAAAAAAATCTGTAACTTTAGGAAAATGACTTAGTAAACCTGAATAGATTTTCCTAAAGTATACCTCAAAACACCCCAAAATTTCTTTTGTAAATATTATCCCTTAGAGAGATGTGTACCATAATGTTCTTTGCAGTGTGATTACTGGCAGCAAAAACGATTAGCTTGATTTCTAGTAGCCAAATATTGGGGGTGGGAGGAATTGGAAATGCCTGTCATTAGGTAAACGGTTGAATAAGCTGTGTTATATTTATATGATGGAATAATGTACAGCAATTTATTGCAACAAACCATATCTATATAGATTAATAAGGATAATCTAAAAACCATGATCTTGAGTGAAAAACAAAGGGTAGATGATGTACATAATATATATCTCTAAATATCTATATCTATCTAAATATCTAAATATCTCTAACTGGAATAAAACAACATTGGATTGTATATTGGCTTGGGGTATAGATATGTATGGAAAAGTATAAAAAAGGATAGGATAGGATGATTGTATGCTAAATTCATGATGGTGACTGTTTTTGGAGACAATGAAGGAGAAGAATGGGGTAGGGGTGACAGTTTGGGCCTCACATCTGAGTATGTATATGTTGTTTAAAAACTACAAAGAGGGGTGCCTGGGTGGCTCAGTGGTTAAAGCCTCTGCCTTCGGCTCAGGTCATGATCTCAGGGTCCTGGGATCGAGTCCCGCATTGGGCTCTCTGCTCAGCAGGGAGCCTGCCTCCTCCTCCTGTCTCTCTCTGCCTGCCTCTCTGCCTACTTGTGATCTGTCTGTCAAAAAAAAAAAACAAACTACAAAGAAACATAAAAATTTTACTTCTATATGGTGGTAATACACATATTTGTAATATAAATCCACCTTTTCAACTATGACTGCTTGAGATGCTCTCTCCCCTATCTTTCTGTCCCTCTCTTCACTCAGTGCTCATTCTTTCTAAATAAATAAATGAAATACAAATTAAAAATTTTAACAATACTTTCTATATATTAATTCATTGGATCCTTATGATGCAAGTATTATCATAAATCACAGTTTCCAGATAAGGAAACTGAATCAAGTTGTCCAAGATAAGCTAGCAAATGACAGAGCTAGAAATCAAACCCCAGCAGTCTGGTTCTTATTCAGTATGTTTTACTTCTTCTCACAAAAGGCCCCAAAAGAGATTTTCATGAATTAGAAAAATCAACAATATTCACTCACTTTTAAAAAATGAGTGAATAAATGAATACATGGATTGCTGAATCAAAATTGGGGCGCCTGGGTGGCTCAGTGGGTTAAAGCCTCTGCCTTTGGCCCGGGTCATGATCCCAGGGTCCTGGGATCGAGCCCTGCATCGGGCTCTCTGCTCAGCAGGGAGCCTGCTTCCTCCTCTCTCTCTGCCTGCCTCTCTGCCTACCTATGATCTCTGTCAAATAAATAAATAAAATCTTTTTTAAAAAATTAATTCATCAAAAAAAAGAATAAGCCATTGGACAGTAAGAAAAATGATCAGAAGTATTTTTAAAAAGTAGGTACTTGAGAGGGATAAAAACAAGTATAGATAAATGCAAAGAGCACATTAAAAAGAACAAGAACTTAAGGACTGGGAAAAGGTATCCACTGAGGAAGAACAAGGGCACCTCCCTTTTTGAAATGAATGAGAAACAGGTAAGGGTAGTACAGAGAATAGTCATCGGGAACCAGAGGGGACATGCTGAAAAGATCTTAACTCTTCCCAGTGTCCCAGGCCCTTCTCCATAGGCCATGGCCTTTGAGGAGAGCTTCCCACCAAAGATCTCAAGGTTCCTTCTGGAGCTTTCCCCCCACCTGATCAACACTTGCTTGGGCACAGTCCTTTTGTCGCATCCAATCATCCAGGGCTCTTTCCCTTTTTGCATAAGGAGATCGAAACTGGCTTAGAAATGAACATTCTCTGGGCGCCTGGGTGGCTCAGTGGGTTGGGCCGCTGCCTTCAGCTCAGGTCATGATCTCAGGGTCCTGGGATCGAGCCCCGCATCGGGCTCTCTGCTCAGCAGGGAGCCTGCTTCCTCCTCTCTCTCTACCTGCCTCTCTGCCTGCTTGTGATCTCTCTCTGTCAAATAAATAAATAAAATCTTTAAAAAAAAAAAAATGAACATTCTCTTCACACACTAGAAAAAAAAAGAAAGAAAGGGAAGGGAGGAAGGAAGGAAAGAAATGAAAAGGAAGGAAGGAAGGGGGGGAGAGAGGGAAGGGAAAGGAAGAGTAGGAAAGGGAACGGAGGGAAGAAAAGGGAGAAAAGGGAAGAAAGGAAAAGAAAAGAAATGGGACTTGACCAAGCTGTAGTGATTCCAGAATTCAAATCCAGTTGCTTAGAAATGAAGGAAGAGAGGCAATCCCAGATAGGATTTTAAAAGAGGGGGGACGGGGAGGAAAGGTTTTCTGGAGATAAGGTGAAATTGCCCAAAGGAGCCACTCATCCCCAAACCTACAAAGCACAAACTACTCCTTTAAGAAAAGAGAAGGAAAAGGGGGGGAGGGGGAGAGAAATTCTGCTATGCACATGAGACACAATCCGTAAATGCACAAAGAAGAAGAAATTCCAGAAATATGTGGAAATGGATATGCTTACCCACTGAAATCGGACTGCTATAGTTCTGTAACATCACATCTCTGTACAAATCCTTCTGAGCAGGGTCTAGGCTGAGAAAAGCCTACAGTCATACCCCGGAACATCACCAGTCTCTGGAAAAACAAGTCCATGTAGTACTAGTGAAATTAAAGGAAATATTTTAAGATGGAGGAATCAGAACTGTAAAAGGACACTGAGGGGAAGAGGGAAAGGCTGGAGCTAGAAGTTTGTGTTATAATACAGCACAGTAAGATAATCAGAGTATATTCATGTTGCTTAAGCATGGTAGGACTTTTCCATTATCTTAATATACCTGGAAGTGAATAAAATCTATGGAGAGATTAAAAAAGCAGTGGCACCTGGGTGGCTCAGTCTGTTAAGTGTCCAGCTCTTGATTTTGGTTCCAGTCATGATCTCAGGGTTGTGAGATTGGGTCCTGCATCAGGCTCCATGTGCAATCAGCTTAAGCTTCTCTCTCTCCCTCTCCCTCTGCTCCTCTCTCCCCATTCAACCCCACTCCCACTTATGCATGTGCTCTCTCTCAAAAAAAAAACAAAAAACAATGTTTATAAAATACAAATCAAACTATAGGCTTGGTAATAAATTATAAAAGAACACGAATTCCTCATCTCTTGTGAAGGACTAAGGTAGAAAAGGGATTCTTCCATAACATCTTGTAATAATAAATATTTCCTTCTTGGAAAACAGAATTATAACTAGGAACTAAAACATGGCTGGATCTGGGAACAAGAGAACTTCAGAACTGGAAAGACTGGGCCTTCATTTTACTGTAATTTTTGAAAAACAAACTCAGGGTTTGTTTTTTTTAAGGATTTTATTTTTTTTACAGAGAGATCACAAGGAGGCAGAGAGGCAGGCAGAGAGAGAGGGGGAAGCAGGCTCCCCACTGGGCAGAGAGCCGGACACGGGGCCCAATCCCACATGGGGCTCAATCCCACATGGGTCTCAATCCCACATGGGGCTCGATCTGGGGACCCTGAGACCATGACCTGAGCTGAAGGCAGAGGCCCAACCCACTGAGCCACCCAGGCACCCCACAACAAACTCAGGTTTACAGAATAGTCACAAGTACAGTGGAAAGACATGCCCCATAACTGAATACTTTACAGTGTGTTTCTCATAAACAAGGACATTTTCATATATGACACAATACAACCACCACCATCAAAACCTAGAAATTAATATTGATACACTATTGCCTATTCTCAAACAAACCATGTGAGTATTGCCAATTGTCCCAATAATGTCCTTCAGGGCAAAATGAGTTCAATATCATGTCATGTACCCTTAGTTCATTCTGTCTAAATCACTTCTTCAGTACTCTCTGACATCCATGAATTTGACAA